CCATTGATTCTGTAATGCAACCAAGGTAGAGCATTTTATCCATTCAGTTTATACCCCAGGTAGGAAGGCAGTTCATCTTTCTGGCCCCGCCTAAGCAGGGGGTGTTACGGGACTGCTCGCTAAAAGAGAGACGTCTCTATAACTGAAGTTGGTAATGGGGGGAAAAAATCTCATCTGCTAGCACATAGGAATATACAGCACTGCCTGTAAGTTAGTGGGTTCAATAAAGTTGTTGTTATGCTCTGCAAATGGCTTCCACTGTGCGGTGCCTAACCGGTGGGCAATGTCAGCATTCACCAGTCCCCTTGTCTGTTTGGTGCCACGGTTGTGTGCTCCAGAAACTTCCAAACTCCTATCGTCTGCGACCTTGTGACCGTTGGAGGGAGGCAGGGAAGGGGTGAGCCCCATACTATCATCAGCCACCTCCCAAAGCAGAATTACAGGTCCCAGCCCCGTTCCAAGTGCCCTGATTTAACGCTTCTTCTTTATTCGACTCTTCTAAAGTGCTGGATTGAGAGGCCGGGAAATGTTCACATTTATTCCCAGGGTGAATCGCCACCAGTTGCTCCAGAATGTCAGTCCAACTTGCTACGGAGCATGTGGGGCTTTGAGCATTGCATGGCAGAAAGCCGCACAGATGTGCCTTTGAGAAACTCCGAGCTGAATCCTGCTCCAGGAGGTACGCAGAACCCAGCTGATGCGGGTGGGAAGGCTGGAGGAGAGCAGTGGAGTGATGATGTTACTGGGAGATGCGCGCACAAAAGAAGGCGGCGTGTGGTCCCGAGAATTTGCCAGGCCAGGCCAGACCATTGGTCCATCTACTCCAGCATACTCAATTCCTCAGGGCCCAGTGGAAAACACCAACCTCTTTGCACGGTGCTGCACCATGTGTATCCAGCAGTGGCCCCCTAGTGAATTCTTTAGTTACAGTTTAGGGAAAAGGAGCAGCTCCTGGTGTCCCTTCTCATCCTTAATCCCCGTAATCTCCAAACCTTTCGGCCACAGCTGAGGTCAGGATCAGCCTGGCTGAGCTCTGCAGGTGCCATCGAGTCTGAGTGCACAGCCGTCTGCCTGCTGCAGGGCACCGGTGGGCCGCACAGTGGTTGCCAGGTGTAGATCAGTGAGTGCAGCCCCACATACAGCGAGAGCCTTCTGGGTTCCCTCTCCCACGGCGTGTCCTTTGTTCCAACCAGTTTGAACAATGCCGACTCCGGCATTCGACCTCCGTTGCTTCGATGCTTTTAATTTTCTTTACGTTGGGCATCCAGAAAATAAAGCTCCTTGTCAGAGGCAAGTTTCTTTTCAGCTTTTGTGTTGCCCAACAGTGTGTGTTTTGTTAAAGGCCTGGATTAACTTGGCGCTTTCCTCTTCTAGAGTGTTCAGTCCCAGCCGGTCCCCTTCTCTGTTAATGAACCACTTGTTATCAGCAGCTTCTTTCATTGATCTACCCTGGCACTTCAATGCAAACTGGGC